ATTGAATTTTTTTTAAAATTTTTTATGATGGCATTTTTGGTAAATCTCAATCTACAACAAAAAAACTTTATTGTTGAATTTTTTTTAATTAAAATAAAAGTCTTAACATAAGCATGGCTAGGTTTACATTGTAGTATTAACTGTTGTAGTAACTTAATATTATTGCTAAATTAACAAAAAAAAAATCATTTTTTAATGAAAGTTAATCAATAACAATAGTTCTTATTATAAAAAAAAGCTTGAATAGATACATTTACTTCTTAAAAAAAACAAAATTATGAATCCATAAATTTCAGATGAATCCAAAACTATGAAATATAAAAAAGCTCAATTCAGAACCTTCCTCTTTCTCTAATTACATTTCATTTAGGGAAAAAAAAAACAATTCTTTCTCCCCAAAATACTATTACAAGCATCATTTTTAACAATGAATTATTAATGCATAATACCAACATGAAGATCTAATCATTTTCATTAGCAAATAAAACCTTGAACACTAACAAACTTATCAATCATAAAAGCTCAATGCAACACCTTCATTTTATTACAATAATAGAATTATGTTTCATTCAAATAAACAATTCATACCTCCCAATAAAATATTACAAGCCTCACTTCTTAAAAAAAGAATGTCAAATGTATATGATCACAATGAACATTCTATTTCTTTACTTGCAAATTAAACCTTGAACACTTGACTTAAATGCATATGACAACAATGACCACCTTTTTATTTTTTTTTTATTTTCAAATTAAACCCTGAACACTTAACTTTTAATGCTTGCTTTGGAATAGAGGTTTATGCTGCCTATCTGAAACCTTGAAGTGGCATTTGGATCCCTTACTGAAATAAAATTGAATCTGAAAGTTCGATAAAATTATAAAAAAAAACGGTCAGAGAAAGGAAAGTAATATTTTAAGCGCAGAAACTCAAAGAGTCTTCTTGAATTGATTTACCTGAACGCATTACAAAGCGATGTTGTTTCAACTCTGAAACTTCTGCGCTGGAATCGCTTCTCAAATAGCTGAGAACTCCGCTTGTCCAATACAGTCCAGCTAAGGCCTCCATCATTGCTTCCCTCAACAACCCTATTTAAGCAATGTGATTTTAATCAATATAGTTCTTGTTAGCTTTTATGAAAGTTGGAAATTTCATTGGAAAATGTGCTTAAAAAGCTGTAAATGAAATTAAGGGCCTGTTTAACATTTTTTTTTTCTTCATATCAGAGTACCAGAAAAAGGTCACGTAATGGACAAAAACAGTACAAACCCCTACTAGCATGTGGCGAATGTGGGCTGCTAATGAATAATTTATACTTTATTACATGGTATATTACATTGTACTACCATACTATAACTATACTATACTACTAACTAATATACTATAGTAAAGTTATAGTATGATAGTTAAAGTATAGTAGTAGTAGTAGTATATGCTATATACTACTACTATACTACTATTTAACTACTATACTATATACTACTATACTACTATATACTACTATATACTACTATATACTACTATACAATATACTACTATATACTATACTATACTATATTCTATACTATACTATATGCTACTATACTATAT